GACAGGCGTGCTTCTGTTACACGGGGATGGGACGGGGCGTGGTAGATGCGTTTGAATGGGAGCAACATCTAGATGTCTCCTACAGCGGTCGGACATCCGAGCGCTAGCCCTTCCGTTTCTGATCTCCTCCACCGAGTCTTTTCTGTGTTCTCTTCATACTTGACTCTAGAGTGCATCCAAAATTTTTCTCGGAAACACAGGACAGCTGCACCTCATTATATTAAGAAGAGAAGAGGGCAAGAGCTCAAACAACCCCACAAACACCACACACACACACAACACACACACACACACACTCACGCCTCAACAGTTTCCAGGATTACATTCGCGCCCGTGACAAAAACACAAAGGTGACCAAACTAAGCTAGACACTCTAACTACCGGGTAGGAGGACAGTCAAGAATGAAAGCCCTCGAGCCCCTGTCATAGACCACAAACGGCGCTCCTTGCCGGCTATATCAAAGCCCCAGCTAAGTTTGGAGCTGCTCCACCAAAAACACATCCATTGCGATGGTTCCATATAGTCCATGCTACGAGTATAACAAGCCAATTAATTCCTTGCCTAATCATCCCATCATCGGTGCTGCTGCTAGCTTTCTCCCACCAAGCATGCATGGAAGGATAATTCAGTAGGCTGAGGAGATAGAGTCTGAAGACCGACCTATCTGAACAGACCATTGAACCAAAATTCTTTCGCGAAGACACAATGGACAAGGAGATGGTCGATAGTCTCCTTTTCTTGGTCACAAAGAGGACAATACTCCGGATGAGGTAGCCCCCGACGTGGTAGGAGATCAGCCGTCCAGCACTTATTGTGCGCGACAAGCCACACAAAGAAGCGACATTTGGGCGGTGCCCATGATTTCCAAATCCTTTCCCAAGGTCCAAAAGTGCATTAAAATGACGTATGATCTCCATGATGCACATATCTCTAACTGTATTTCTTCACCAGCGTCACCATTAATCCACGTGTGATCTGCCGTCATTAGCTCCTGATATACCAACGCAAAGTTGCCACCGGGCAGCACTTTTGCTAATCTAGAAGAACTCCCGTCTTTCTGCTGCTTGTACTTCCTGCTGCTCGAATAGCTAGCAGATTATTGAAAATACTTGTTAGCAACCGATTTATTTGGCTCACAAATTAAATCGGCCAATGGAGATAGTACAATAGCACACGAACAGGGTATATATTGCCAAAAACCAAATTTAACAACAAATCCAACAAACCAAATTATGCCATCAACAGTAGGAATAAAAGGGGAATGAAATGACTCGGTGTGCTTACCAATGTTTGGATCCATGGACATCCTCTTCACCTCCGTCTGTTGAATTCACTTTCATTTGAAGATTCGGTGTGTCATCACAGCCGAGTGAGAATAATTTTGAATAATGCACATGGATGATAGAAGTGTGCATGGTGGGTCAAACATATGCACGATTGTAAGGAAGTCATTACTTTTTACATACTTTGTTCATTAATTTTTACCACAAAAGGAAATCCTTTCCATTTTTAGAGCCTACCAAATATACTTGCAGAGAAATAGAATGCTGTAGTAATGCTACTTTGGAGATTTATATCATGTAGATTGCAAATAGCAGAAATTTAAAGCTTTAGTACCTATAAAAGGAAATTAAACCTTTCTGTGCAACTATTGGTTTATAGTCACATCATTGATCACTACTCCTTTAGTATCATTGAAACCCATTAATGGCAGCGGCCATTTGCTTCCGAATTGTATGTGTAGCTTTTGTGCACCACCAGCCTCCAGCATATATTACCATAATTTACCCCCCACCTAACTCCGTCTTCTGAAGGATTCAACGAAGGCTACATATTCAAGGTTTCAATATTTACACCCATGGCTAAACTACAATTTTCATTAACAATTTAGGTTTCCTGTCATCAAGATGCATGGAGCCAAGAGCATACTCATGTTATGATTACCTAAACAGACCATTTGATGCTTGAAACTTGTTGTTATAAAAGAAGTGCCACCAGACACAAGCAGTGAACATTTCTATAGACAGGCAGCATATAAAATAAGAAAGCTCAAGTCATGTAAGCCGAACAAATTGGGTCAAATAGAAAGTTGGGCTCTCAGAAGAAGAAACATCATGCTTTTGTTTCAAGAAACTTTAATTTTGCTCTTCGAGAACCTCAAACAAAAGGATATTTTCTACCAGTCATGATTTTTCCTTTTATTTGACAACCCAAGACAATAATAACTACAGCTGGCCTCTACCACTCAAAAAAGAACAAAAGTTGGCCAGAAACGACTCATACACTTCTCCACAAACAATGGTAAAGGCAATTTTCTAATAAAAACTATGTTGAAACTCTTGGCTGAATAGAAGTAGAGAATGATGTTCTTAAACACACCCACATGATACAAAGCTAACTCTAATTGATAAAACAAAATTAACCAAAAGAGAAGGAATCAAAAACAGAAGTGGCACACCCAGAAACAAAATTGATTGCAGTAGTGGGCATTCCCCATGATGCTTGATAGTGTTGGCAGTTGATGTCAGTTCACAGTGGCAGGGGCCATTTGCTTCCTAATTGTGCGGACCTGAAGTTTTTTTGTGCCACAAGCCTCCAGCATAAGATGACTCTCACTATGCCAGAAAACGTTATCAGTGACACGATGATTCGTGACACAAAAACGAAATGCGTCACCAATAATCTATCCGTGACGCGGGTTCACGAGACGCGTCACCGATTAGTTGTTGCCCATGCCCCAGGAGCAAGACGCGTCACTAATAACGATGTATTCGTGACGCGCGTTAACAAGACGCGTCACGGATAAAAATGTGACACGTATTGTCAAGGCGCGTCACAGATAGATTGTAGTATTGGTGACGCTGGTTAACAAAACGCGTCACAGATAAGGCATGTGATGCGTTTTTGCTGGACGCGTCACCAATAGAAAAGCATATCCGTGACACTTCTCGATAACACGAGTCACAGATAATAAATGTGACACATGTTCTAAAGACGCGTCACTGAGTTGTGGCCGGGGACACATCTACAGCACCGATCTTAACTCATGTTTATTAGCTTCGTCCCCTAAAAAAATGCCCCGGTCGAAATAAAAAACACGTGGAGCTCCGACCGCCGACCGCCGCCGTCGACCTGCAGCTCCTGCCGGTGCCCTGTGGAGTCCCCACACCACGGCACCTACAACTCCGGCCGGAGGCAGCCCCCACCCCACCCCGGTGGACTCCCAATCCCGGTGCGTCCAGAGCTCCGGCAGTCGCCGCGCGCCGCGCACCGCGCGCCCACCTCGGCTCCTCCAGCTCCGGCCATCACGGCCGCCCATCTCGGCACCTGCATCTCCGGCCAGAGCCCCCACCTCTGCGCCGCCCCATCACTCGAGCCCAGGCCCCGGCGGTCACGTGTCGTCGGCGGCCTCCAGGGCGCAGCATCGTCGGACCAGAGCACGGCCGTCTTTGTGTCAGCAAGGGCGAGATTCGCTCGCGTCCATCGCCCACCTCGAGCAGAGGTACAACATCGCTCACTTCTTTTCCCTTTTTCCCTTCGGCTGTGTTCTTGATTGTGCGAGAAATGGATCCGGTGCTGTCATGTGGAAGCGTTCAGAGAGTCTGTAACTGTCAATTGACAGCAATCTGTAGTGTACACACTATTGCTCGGATGCAGAATAATCTCTAGTGTCAGGTACAGGTACTATTGCTTATCTCTAGTGTCAATTGAAGCTTTACACAAAAAAATAGTGTCAATTGAAGCCCCACTATTGCTCGTCTCCTGGAATTAACTTTGAGATGCAGGCTTGTTTGGATGGAATCATGGAAGCGTGGCTGGCTAGACAGTAGTAGACTTGTGCAATATCCATCCATCCAATGATTCAAAAAGTTCAAAACTGCTACTTAGAATTGATGTTAAATTGCAATAGCTTCGCAGTCTAAAATGTGTTGCCTACGTGGCTCCCAGAAAAAGAATTATGGGAAGACATCTGCATGTTCTTTCTTGTTTCTGGCAAACAAACACTGACTGCTACTAATAGGTAGTCTACTTTGTCAGGCAAAATTATCAGGTCCCGTTATGTTCCATTGTTTCTCTGCTACAAACGTGGAATTAGTCCAAAACTAAACTAACCAAAGACAGATTTCAGTTTCTGTTATATATATGCCTATGATTATATATATGAGGTTCCTAATGTTTCTCTGCTATGGTCAAATAACCAATACTGCCAGACAGTACTTAGCAACAAAATTTCTTGAGGTCGTGCCTATACTAAACCGGTTACTCGAATGCTTGTGTGTTCAGATTAATAATATCCGATATGCTTGATTTCTGCAGGGAGCAAAGCATCAGATACTCGAGGAATAGCAAAGCCTGATTCCTGACAACTACGTTTGTTCCAAGCTGCAAATGCTTTACTGCTTGAAATAATCAATGGAGGATAGGAGTGCTGAACACCACTAGCCAAGAAGTCTACTAGTCGGAGGAAGCTGCTACTGTCCAAGTAGGTATTTTCTGCTGACTTAGCATCTTCCCAATTGGGTCCTCACGGTGTATTATTGGTTGTTGGATTGAGACATAGTGGGATTGCAAACATAAAGTGTAAAATTTAGTATTTTTTGGATTATTTTTGTTGGGATGGATTGGACTGATGTCGTGAGGGACTGGTTAAAATTCCAGCAGTTTTGGTTTTGAAAATTTCATTGCAAAATAGACAGTAGGTGTGCTCTCTGTTCAGTTTAATGCATAATATTTTTCTATCAGTGGTATACAGCTTAGTACCCTGTTCTAGCTAGTTGTTGTCTTCTTTGGCTGTTAGTTCAATATCAGGTCTGACTGAACTCACATAGCCAAGCTAAGCTCTACTTCAGTGCAACTTGTTTTTCATAGAGCTTTGGCTAGTCATATCTTTTTCTTTGGAGTGTCACACTGATGCAATAGTAAATTTACTATTCAAGTAATTTATAGGATTTTCATGCAAGGATTAGTTGATTTCATTTGTTTTCATACTTTTGTAGATATGGAGGATCGGAGCTGGATGTCTCTTCGCAACCGTGCATGTACTCAGTACTTAGATGGTCTGAAATTATTCATAAGAGCTGCAGAGGCGGATATGTTGAATCGGCACAAGACAACTATGTGGTGTCCATGCATTGATTGTGAGAATAAGATGCAGTTCTCGAGTTCATTAACACTCCATGCCCACCTGATCCTACGAGGATTCATGGATCACTACAGATGTTGGAACAAGCATGGAGAAGGAGTTAATGATCGAGACTTGCAAGCTGGTTGTATGGACCAAGGATTCTCTGGTGACCTACGTCAGGATGATGGAACTCATGGTGCTGGTCAGGACAATGAGGAAGGACCCTTTTGCATCCCGGATCTCACCGATGACAAGCTAGCAGATATCAGTGCCAATTATGCCCAGAAGTCACAGGACCTTGAGGAGATGGTGCGTGATGCCATGGGCTTTGATGAGTACACTGAGGCGGAGATGAAGAAGCTGAAGAGGTTGGTGGTAGACATGAGGACTCCTCTCCATCAGAGCTACAAGGCAAAGTATTCAAAGTTGTTTGCTACTCTCACGCTTCTCCAGTTGAAGGCGACATATCATTGGACTGACCGGAGCTTCGATGCATTGCTACATCGATTAGAGGACATGTTGCCTGAGGGGAATGAGTTACCCAAGACCACATATGAGGCCAAGCAGATTGTTTGCCCTATGGGATTGGAGGTCGAGAAAATCGATGCCTGCAAGAATGACTGTATACTGTACCATGGTAAAGAAAACAAAAAACTGACCGAATGCCCCGAGTGTGGAGTCTCTCGATACAAACGAAGAAATGACGGGGGTGATGAGGACAAGAGGCATGGAGCTCCTTGGAAGGTGGTATGGTACTTCCCTATAATCCCTCGCCTGAAGCGTTTGTTTGCAACTGCCAAGGACGCGCAGTTGTTGAGTTGGCACAAGGAGGGACGCAAGAATGATGGTTACCTACGGCATCCAGTAGATGCTATTCAGTGGCGCGTCATCGACTCCAAGTATGCATCTTTTAAAGATGAGCCAAGAAACATTCGCTTTGCACTGAGCACAGATGGCATGAACCCGTTCGGTAACAGGAGCAGCTCGCATAGTGTCTGGTCTATGTTGTTATCGATCTACAACATTCCATCGTGGCTGTGTAACAGGAGGAAATACATGATGATGCCACTTTTGATCTCGGGTCCGCATCAGCCAGGGAATGACATTGACGTGTATCTGAGGCTGGTTGTCGATGAGCTCAAGACGCTCTGGTCAGACGGTGTCAAGGTATATGATGGGTTCAAGAGAGAGTCATTCAAGTTGCGTGCAATGGTGTTAACCAGCATCACCGATGTTTCGGGACACCGTTGCTTGTCTGGGCAGTCCAAAGGAGAGAAAGATTGCTTTCAGTGCTTAGATGATACCGAGAGTCTTTGGCTGAACAACTCGAAGAAGAGGGTGTACATAAGACATCGCCGTTTCCTTAGCCGATCCCATCCTTACCGGCTCATGAAACGCCAGTTTGATGGCACAATTGAGAAGGGATCTGCTTCGAGGCATTTCACTGGGCATGATGTCTATTACCAGGTAAAGGATGTCAATGTTACATTGGGGAAGAACAAAAAGAGTGCCCTTGGAAAGAGAAAGCGCAAGGAGGAAGAAGTCGTTGATAAGAGGTGGAAGAAGAAGTCCATTCTATGGGAGCTACCCTATTGGAAAGACTTAGCAGTTCGCCACAGCATCGATGTCATGCATGTGACAAAGAATGTTTGTGGGAGCTTACTTGGAACACTCTTGAACACCAAGGGGAAAAGCAAGGACCATGCAAATGCACGAGCGGACATGAAAGATTTGGATATCAGGCCCGAGTTGTGTCCCGAGGCCCCCAGTGCCCAGCTACCATTATGTGCCGTAAATCTAACTAAGGAAGAGAGGCAGAAGCTGTGCGACTTCTCTCCCGTGCGCCGCATCTCTCCCGTGCGCCGCCGCATCCACAGCCCCGCATCTCTCCCGTGCGCCGCCGCATCTCTCGGCGTGCCTCTCCCGTGCGCCACCGCCTCTCCCACCCTTGACTCTCCCATTCGCGAGCAAGACGCAAGAGGACGCGTAGGGCAGCCACAGCGGCTTTGTCGGCGGCGGGAAGAGTTGGGGCCCCGAGCTGGAGATCCACCGGTCACCACCCCCGTCGCCCCGGCCTCCTCCTCGGTCATTTCAAGTTCCACATCAAAATGGTAAGCTATCACCACCCACAGTCATTTCAAGTGTTTAGCATATTTCTAGCATCTAAATTTGGTCTTCTACAATTTGCTAAACCACATCTTTCTCGAATTTGATTGATAGGTGTCTTCCACGGATTCTTCATCAAGTGGTGACGACGAAGCGGGGACACAAACTGTTTCTGAGGAAGTAGAATCACCCGTTGATGATGAGCAGCAGCAGTCTGTGCCTGAGCCTGTGCGCCGACCCCGAAAACCAAAGACAACATCTAAGTGGCCTACTGACATGATCGAGGTCACAAAGATACATCCAGATGGGAAGCCAATTGAGGTGAAACAACAACGAAGATTGCGATTGCTTGCTCGTTTGATTGCTAGACAACAGCTATCCTTAGTTATGCCATCATTCAAAACCCTTACTGATGAGAGGAAATGGGAATTGTTTAATAAACATGTCATGCCCTACTTGAAGTTCCCAGATACAATGAAGACTGAGGGGCTTAAGTATATAATGAAGGTGATATCTAAGAGTTGGAGAACCCACAAAAACAGGCTAGTGACCGATTTTATCGAGAAAAACCTCAAGTCCCTTTCAGAAGCACCCCTACATTAAACCTAAAGATTGGGCAGAATTTGAGGTATTGAAGAAGTCCCCAGAAGAAATAGCGAAAAGTGAGAAATACAAAATGCTTCGACAACAAAATGTGCACAACCATTGTCTGGGCTCTACAGGGTATGATGGGAAAGAGAAAAAGTGGGAGGTGGAGGATGCAGAGTTAGTCAAGAAAGGCATCCCTAACCCATGGGATGACTACCCTGAAGGCCGCCCTGTGAGGTTTCTACGAGCAATGAGTAAGCTTGAGGTATCAGAAGATAAAGCTGAGATCATCTGGAAACAGGATTCAACACAAAAAATCTCTGAAGACATTAAAGAGAAGCAATCAGCCGCAGAATCTTCAGGCGTCACTTGGGTCAGGGAGAATGATGTGCTAACTGCATGTTTGGGCCCTGAATAGCCAGGCCGCGTGCGCGCTGTTTCAAGTTACACTAGCTGGAAGCATGGTTGGCCTGGGTGTTCTGGCATGTACAGAAAAAGAAAGAGGTCTGGTGCAATAGATGTGGATGTGGAAGCGATAGCAGCTCAAGTTAGACAAGAAGTTACAGCTCAAGTCACACAAGAAGTGACGGCTAAGGTCACGAAAGAGGTTACTAGCAAGGTCACACAGGATGTCATGTCCTATCTTGCAGACCAAGGCTTGTTGGTAAGACCACCACCTTCTAGGACCCCTAGTCCTGCCTGCGGACGAAGGAGCAGTTGTGCCTCTGCCTCCAACGTTGTTCCAAACGACTTGGAGTTGGGGCCCAGTTCAGTTTCTCTAGATACTATTGATCTTCTTGAAGAGCCTACCCAATGTTCCTTGGTAGTGAACCTTGGAAACTATCGACCTGTGGTTGCAGAGGGTCGGGTGTTCCCAAAGAAATTTGTGCTAGAATCAGTCCAAATAGATTATGATTATGCAATAGTCCAAGTGGAATGTGTACATCAGGGTTATGAGGATTATGTGCTGCAGCCGCCCCCTAATGATGATATCAAAACACTTAGAGAAGCTCTACTACAGAGGATACAGTGGAGAAGGGATTGGATTCTAGTGAAACAAACACATGAGACCCAGCCAACCCAATCTCAACCAGATGAGACCACAAAGAGTGCCAAGAGTGTTTCGAAGGGCACTAATGCTATTATTTCTACAAAGCTACTTTGTGGAGCCAATTCAACTCCTTCAAATCATCAATCTCCAGCCACATCTGATGCAACAAAGAGTGTGCCAAAGGAGCATAATACAGCCAACCCTTCAAAAAATCCAAACAGCTCAGAGAAGGAGTGCACTAAGCTGCCCACGCAGCCAAAAGTGGGAACTAAGGCTGTTGGAAGCGGTGCAAGGCCACCCAAGCAACCCAAAGGGGCTAGTAAGGCTGCTGGAGAGAGTGAAAAGGCAGCCATAAATAAAAAGTTGGCTAGTAAGGCTGTTGGACAGAGTCTAAAACAACCGCAGCAGCAAAAATGGATTGATAAGTACAAATGTGGCCACTCATTTCTCCCAGCAATGCACCTCAAGGCGGTAGGACCTGGATGTACTGCTCTTCATGCTCATTACATGAAAGATTGCGTCAACAATAAGCATGGGATAGTGGTTAGGTTCAAGGGTATTTATATGCTGAACTCATCAAATTTCGAAGTCGAGCTTGTGAGATACATTTTTCTGTATGACCTCTTCCAATTTGGGGCATTGGATGCCTCTCTTCTTCAATGCTGGATATTGTAAGTACCTCCAAACAAATCTGTGTTCTTTACTTTTGTTACCCCATGGTAGAAGAACAGAAATAAGGTCATAGCTGATAGTAGTTCTCCTTACATTTAAAGTAACCATCTAATAAATAAATCATCCACCTATGTCATTATGAAAACTATCTATATCATCCCTACATTTGTATCTAGCCATCTCCATATAGAGTATTTGGTAACTAAAATTTATAACAATCAGGCAAAGATAGAAGGTATATATATATATATATATATATATATATATATATATATATATATATATATATATATATATATATATATATATATATATATATATATATATATATATATATATATGTGCTATGAGCAGAACATTTTCTATTAGTTATGTGCCCCTAACTTTATCCATGAATTTCTCTCAAGAAATTACTAGGCTGCACAAGAGCTCAGATTGGTGGAATTTGATTCCACCGTGTTTGGATCATATTTTGTCTAAAGAGGTACTCCATATTCTCAAAAGAAATAACCGAATAAGTGAGAAAAGAGAGGATGTGAAATTTAGTTTCAGGGCTTTTTTGGTACATATGTAAGGGCATAGTATTTGAGCTGTAGCTTTTGAACATGTCAGCTTTTCTGTTCCGGTGGTATATCTCCCCTGCTGCTGCTGCACGCTGCACGCCATCCAGGCATAGATTGGGCTTGGGCATGATAGGTTTTTTTTTTTCTCACCCATTGTAGTATTTCTAAGGTTGAGTGTGAGCATGCCAAAAGTTTCAAGTTTTTCCATGTGTTGTATGACCAGAGATCCTACATAACTGATAAACGTGAATAAAAGATATGCTCTTTCAACTCAACCTTTGCGTTGCTCTGTTAACTTCATGTTGAATTTGGTTTGGTTCACTGACTGTATTTTGATTATTGTCTGAGTGACCACCTGACATCAGTTTTTTGCCGAATTTTGTTCCAAACTATTAATCTCCAGTTAACAGCTAAACTGGTTGGCTTCAGCGTAGACAAACCAATTACCTTTAACACATAGTAGTTCGGGGACAATTGGTAGTGGCGGAGTTAAAGTAGATTGTTTGTAGGTGGGTTTAACTGTTCTGGCAAACAAAATAACTGTGTTGGCCGGCAGCTTTTATCTGGTTACTGATACTATTACTTTGGTCCTTTGCAGAACCTACTAGGTCTTGTTTATATAGTTCTGTTCTGATAGCTGTTATTGTGCTTTTGTTTATTGCCAGTTGCTATTTTTGCAGAACCGCTTTTGAACATGTCAGCTTTTGAACATGTCAACTTTTGAACATGTTTAGAGTGCTTCTAGAATAAAACTGAACATAAACATCAATTTTGTGCTTGGTTTACCTTGCATGAGTTGAGGTACAGAGTACAGACGTTAAACTTCAATTTTCATGCTCTGCATCATGTGTATTCTAGCTGACCCAGATAAAATGCAATTAAGCTGGTTGAAGTAGCTGACCCAGATACATATGCTTGCAGTTCATCAGCTGTTCTGTACTCATTTTCTCTAGGCATATCCCTTTTGGTTTATGTACTCATGTTGTCTACATGTTCTTTCTTATTTTTAGATCACTGGTTGTGGAAGCTAAGGCTAAGGACATTCATGTGGGCTTTCTAGATCCACAAGTGATGTCACTGGACAGCATAACATTTGATAGAGACAAAGTTCTGCAGTATGTACAAAAGGCCTTCACCAAGTATACCAAGAATGACTACATAATGTTTGCCTACAACTCTGGCGGCTTAGCTGGTGATCATTGGATCGTCGTGGTAATAATTCAAAAGTGGAATAAGGTCATATACCTTGATTCCAACAGATCTGAAAACCATGATTTCAGCGTGCTAAAACTGTTGATTGACGAGTGAGTTGTTTGCTTCCCTACTATTTACTTGTTTCATAAGTGCCAATATCATTGAACCAACATAATGAGCCATATATATGTGTGTGTTGTACTCTTACATGTAGGGCTTTTGCAAGACACACAAACAAGCTGGAAGACAGACCACAGCCATTGAAACACGCTTTTAAATATGCGGTAAGTGCTTCCAAACATAAAAGTCAATATTATGCCTCTAGTATATTAAGTACTGTGTTCAACTTCCATTTTCAAATTATTGTGTTCTATATATATTTGTCGCAGTGCCTTCAACAATCTTCTGCTAAGTCATCTGGCTGGTATGCTGCACACCACTTGTTTTTAGCTATGAGAAAGACAAACTTGGAATACTCTGAGGTATTCATATCTAAACTTTGGATGTGCAAATATAATGGCCCATGGTTGTTTGAGTGTGTGTGACTGTGTCATGTCCTAGTATAGTTTTTAGCCCATGGTACTTGTTCTGCTACCTGTCTTTTTCTATCTCAAGAGAAGAGAAAAGGTGGAGGCTTTATTTGTATTGTTACCTGTCTTTTCGTTTTGGGGAGTGATCTGATGAGGGTGGAGGAGCAGGTGCCAGCTCTGTGCTTTTGCAGCTGAACCTCCTTATGCTCCAGGTAGTTTAGTGATTGGATTAGGAGCATGCAGCTAGCTAACAGATTATTTTCTCTGATTGTTTATTTGTTTCCTAGCACTCGGATATAGTGTGGCCATTGTCGCAGTGGCCAGTTTGTGTTTCAATTTGAGTATCATTATTCGGTAATAGTGGCACTAGCCGATTGCTCATAGTCTTGATGAAAAAGTTTGTGTGGCCTCAGCATTCTGTCTTCAAATCAGTCTCAAGGAAATAGTCCTGCGTGTCCAGAAAAAAGTCTCAAGTAACAGTTGTATTTCAAACCTTAATGCGATTTCACTACATTTGTAGGCTATTCCCTTGATGTAGAAGAAAACTCTGCAGTTTCTTTTCAGTGGAAACATGCACAATACTACTTTAGTCATAAGCTCGAATGCTCGATGCTTTACGCTGCCTATATATTTTACTCAGTGATAGACATAGGCACAGCACCACCTGCTTGCTAATGAATTTCCACATCTGCGGATGTTCCTATGTCCCTTGATTGTTTGCATCAAGCTTAGCAACTGTGATTTTTTACATTGATTGTCTATATTGTCCTGTACATTGTACTGTACCATGTTTTCTTTTTTACCAAAGTTCTATCTTGACACAGGAATTTGAAGTGTTGACGACGCCCATCGATATGCTCATGATTAGAGAAAAGCTAGCCAGGTTCTTAGTGGAACAAGTCATCGAGAAGAAAGGAGAGTTCCATCATGACCAGTGATGTGTGTTTGCCATTATTAGTGTGAGTCCAGTGATGTATTGTGTGACTAAATAAATTAAGCCCAATGTTTAGATGGATTTCGAACAAGTTGTGATGGATTTTGAACAAGTTGTGAACATTTGATATAAATGTGAATCTGTTGAACTTGATGTCTATCTCGTGTGAACATGTTACATATTGATGACTTTTATATATATATATATATATATATTTCTTCTGTGAACGATGTGGGGTTCTGATGAGCAATGTGTACATTTGTTATATGCTATCAGTGACACATTAGACAGACATGAGTCACTGATATCAAATTATCAGTGACGCAAATCAGTGACGCATATTCTTGGTATGTGTTACTCATATATCCTTATTCGTGACGTGTGTTACCACAACGTGTCGCTGATATAGACTTATTAGTGACGTGGGTTCCCACAGCGTGTCGCTGATATGGATTTATCAGTGACGCGTATTATGAATAAGCGTCACTCTATTTCCTTATCAGTGACGCGTCTTACAGTTATCGGTGACGCATGTTCGCGTTATCAGTGACTCGTGTTCTAAATATGCGTCACGGATAGTTTCCTATCAGTGACGCGTTTTTACGCGTCACTAATGTGCCCTTATCACAGACGCAAGAATAGTGACGCGTGTTTTACGCGTCACTGATGACCCTCTACACGCGTCACTGATAAGGTTTTCTGGCATAGTGTCTGATTGATAAAAAGAAGATTAAGCAAAAGAGAAGGAATCCAAAAGGCAACGTTCTAAATGTATGTAATTTCAGGGCTTAAGAAGCAACAACAATTCACAAGACAAAGGTGCAGAAATTCAGGACAGTAAAGGGAGTAACTGAAAACAGCCAGTAAATGTAACTGTTACAAGAAATCATTATACTAAATAAAACAGGATTCCATAAGATGAGATCTGGCCGAAGAAATCCATGTGAACCACCTTTTATTCAAAAGTATCAACTGCTTCCAGAAATCCTGGGTACCAACTGATGAAACTGATGACCTTAGGGGCCACAAGCAACTAAAGGTAGCATAATATTTTCTTTCACGCAACATATAAATTTCAAGCAACGCTTATCTAGAGCTATATGGCCAATAAATAGGTCTAACCAATCCTACAGCTTTTGCAAAGCAACAAGTCCTACATTCAAAACCATACTAGTCTTTGGTCACTTAGTACATGGATATGGCAGAAGATGTGGCCCAAGATGGTCTCATCACTGCTTGAGAAGAAAGATGCTGCCAATGAAGGCCTAATTGCCATAAGGAAAGAAGCAGAGGAAGCCAACTCTATGGTAAGTGGCAACGCTGAAACAGTCCTTGATGCGTTACATTTACATAATATGCATTCCATTTTTGTAAGTAGCGTTGACATGCTAAGTTGAAACAGATGAGATATATAACGAACCTCATCTGTATTCTTTCCAGCATGGGTTCGAGAAAATCTAGGCAGCTTACTTGATTGCTATGATTTCGTTCATTGACAGATGGACAAGAGGGAAACATTGGTTTCTGGAGAACCGAGGGAGTACATGTCACAAAAGAGGACCACACTGACCAGCAAGGTGAAAGCAACACTTAAGAAGGTCGGCAAGGTGACAAGATGAAAACTTTTGATCCTAGTTCCGTAGAGTGTTATTATCATATATGATATATATGTCCATGTAACAAGTGATGCCACTTGACTTCCATATTGCAGATTCTGCGGAAAGCTAAGCCCAGGAAGAAGAGAACTACGATGTATCTGATCGTAGTCTCTACACTCAAATTTCATAAAGATGATGACGTGGATCCTGCAGATGCTGGATGTGCATGCTGGAGGTGAACAACAAAGAGATGGAGAGAATAATCATGAATGCACCTCATGGCAAGAGCTACCTTAGTTATCTATTAATTTGCTAGTACCTATTGTCATCTCAACCTATCTTTCTTTTCATTATATTGTGTTATCATGTTTGTCCGCTATTATGTTGTACTCCTTGGTGCAAAATGAGTTATCATATAATCTGCTAGTGAAAGAATTGATTGTCCATTGGTTACTCTTTAGATGATGGTGTGTTCATTATTTGAAGAAAAGAAGGTACGTAAGCAATAAAACATGGAAAAAATATGTTGTTTAAAAGCAGAGTTAAATGTATCAGCGACTCTCAAACTTGTAAGGGTGTCTCTGTACTACCCTGGAATTTTTAAAATTATAGATTAACCGGACGGACTAATGAGATGAGCAAAATTTGACTTTTTGAACCACAAGTCATATGGAAGATCCGAGACCGTGGATGCATAGAACTCGATGAGACAAATCCATTTGATTATTAACATGTTTCATTTGGATGCCGGATGAATTTAGGATGAATGGTTAAAGTTGAATCGTCAGAAATATTAGGGTTGCGAACTGATCATAAATTAGTTGGTTAGGCTTCATGTGGTGGATTCTGTCCACCCAAGTTTAAGTCCTCGACTTGGCATGGGTGCTCGCATTTTTCTAGATTTAATCTAGGATTTAACGGCGCTATGCTTTCAGTTATAAGCAACGTCCCCGTCGACAGCGAGGCGCCTGTGGTGACTTCAAGAATCTCGAGATCTGCCAGCTCAGTCCTTCGGAGGTGTTCATAGGGGTAGGGTTTGCGTACGTGTGTTCATATGGGTGAGTGTGCGTGCGTGTTGAGTGGCTGCGTTGTACTGTGTATTTCAAAAATATTAGGGTTACTCTTTTCTTGCGTTCAATAAAAAAAGGGAAAGCCGAATCCTGTTCCTCTTCTGTCCGGCTCTCTTAGGTGCCGCCGCCCCTTGTTCCACCGTCGCCTTGGCCCTTCTTCCTACGCTGGACTGCTGCTCTTGGTTGCTCGTGCCTGCTACTTGCTGCACTGCCGTGGGACTCGTTAAGCCCCCACCCAGCGGTGAGTCTTGTGCTGCTGGATGCTTCTTCTACCAGATATTTCTGTTCCTGCGTCCCTCTACAGCGGTGAGTCTTGGGAGTCAGTTCTCGCTGCCGGCTTGTGGTTTTGATTAAGATGAGCTTCTGCAGGGTGGACGTGGACATCAGAGAGGAGAGAAGCTGTACGGAGCAAGCAGAAGGAAAAGAGAAGAGGAAAGATCTAGGGCCTTTCTTTTTTGCGTAAATCTGATCCGGGGTAATTCTTAAATTCATTGGCTTTTCAGATTACCAACTGAGTTTGATTCCTGTCTAAGGGAACTAGAGAATCCGAGAGTTTTCTCTGCAGAAATCGTGGGGTGTCATTAGATGAGTTTTAAGTACGCGAGAGTTAGGCCCCGTTTGACAGGGCTTCACTTCACTAGTGAAGTCATTTTTTTGGCTTCAGCTCCAACAGTTCCACCGGTGGAGCTGAAGCGGTTTTCGTAAACCGTTTGGCAAAATAGCTTCCCTGTGAGAGCATGTTTTTAGGGGCCTAGAGGAGGAGCCAGGAGAAACCACTTTTTTGGCTCCATCCCACCCCAAATCATTGTGAGAGCATGTTTTTAGGGGCTTCACCAGTGAAGCTATTTCACTTTACCCCGTTTGGCAGAAAACGGCTCCAAACGGCTCCTGAAGCTGGTGGAGAAGCCCTGCCAAATGGGGCCTTAGTATGATTTATTTAATGATTTTATGAAACAAATTACTGTGGAATTTGACTAGTGTGCTGAAACAAAAGATGTAGCCATCATTTTTATCTTTCTAATAAAATTACGCTGGTTTCACTCGAATCGGAATAACGGTGCAGGAGTAATGGCCATAAAGGTACTGTTGTCCAGCCCGACTAGAATTTTCGTATGTAGAATCTTTCTACTATTTTTTTCGACCAACTTAGAACCAGAATTTGCCTGCTCACTTAAAAGAAAATTGTAGGAAATTGTCTGTAGATTTCCGAGATGTATTTGGTTGCCCCATTTGGTTAAGCGGATTGAGAGTTATGATTAAAACAGTGGCAACCCAAAAACTTAATCGGTTTTTTCCTGAAAATATGAGAACTGTCGATTATTTTAAGTGAGAGGTTCACTTGAGTATTCATAAATTTGTGATTGATGAGGGCTAGTTCTTGTGGGTTTGTGCCTATTGTGTGAGGTTTTAATTGATTCAATTGTTTCATGTGTTATATTGCTGTTCCATGTGATTCAAGTTCATGTGCTCGGATGTTCAATTTGGATTTTATATTCAATTTAAAGTTTCATGTTTTCATTTACATTCAATTCTGGTGTCGGTTTATCCGGAAGTGCAATTTGGTTCTTATGTTCAGGTTCCTATGAGTTTGTGGTGGCCCCACTTGCTCGGCTTTATGGGTAAATGCTAAGGAGGATTCAGGTGCTATCCATTTTAGATGAAAACTACTATTTATTTGGTGTTCCAATGATTCCTTCATGGATTCTCGTGTGATAATTGTCTTCCAATTTGAATGTACTTGCTGAGTGTTGTTACTCACCCTTGTATTTATTTGGTTTTTAGGTACTTAATCATCACGACATGCATGAGAACCGGGAGTAGCACCATCATCATTCATCACGAGCACTTTTAGCTTACACATGCTTAATGTTTTGCATAGCAGGCAACTGTAATAGTTAAATAGAGGTTGCTAAATGTTTTTTTTGGTTGAGACGATGTTTGCTAGGATGATTCTTTTATTCTATCATCAGATCGAGCTGTGATGTGTATGTATTTAATTACGTGTGAGAATATATCATGGATGTTATAAGATTTTGCCTGTTTGAATACCCAGTTTACTGGGGAGATTCAGCTGAAATTTTTAATAATTTTGAAAGTTCGTAGGATTTATGTGTTGTTTGGTAGCTCCGGTGGTGTTTCTAGCCGGTGCTCTGTGTCACATATGTCGACGAACTTTGAAAATGCTTTTCTGGACACCTAAACTTGTTAAGCACCATAGGTTCATGCTAGCCACATGGGCTTTTCTCACTTACATGGCATGCCAGCATGGCATGTGTATATTTTTAATTTTAACATACACCTCGTGTTTATTTTTTCCTTTGAAATAGACCCTCCCTTCTCCTTCCTACCTGGCCGTTTGTGCATCTTTGGTCATGGGTGCCTGGCCACGGCCCTAAGTAGCAAAACAACGACAGAAAAAGAGTTACGGCTTGGTGGCACACATGCAAGCATTTTAAGACAAGATAAGGCCAGGCTTGGCACCAGGAAAGGCTCGCATCGATGACCTCAAAACTCCATAGCCGAGCTTCGCCGACTTCAGGTTAACTGGAGTCGGATCTAGGAGAACGGGGCGTAGCAGCCCTACGTGGTCACGGTCATGGCATGGTGCCAGTCTGCTGGATCTAGGAGAACGGAGACACCACGGGATGGATACCGAGAGTATTGTTGGTATATTTAACGCACACAGATAAATCCGCAATTGCACGGATACCGCTGTAGCTTTTACCCGAAAGTATTCTAAGTATCGTATTTATAGGGAAACGTGTGAGACTAACTACGATCAAACTTAACTAGGGGTAGCAACAAGGTTGAGATAAATAGGAGCGTAGAGAGGATAACTGAGGTTCTCTAATTCTAGCTTGGGTAAGCTATGTCTTCTACGGTTCAACTCGGGACATTACTAGGAAAAGACACCAGCAGATGATGCTTTCCTTCATAACTGGGTCCTACTTAGCCTACAAACGGGAGGTGGACTACAAATGATCAACGATGCTATATAGTACTCAACGAGGCTATATAGTATTGATGTCACACACACGATCGACCACCGATCCAGAATACAGGGTGCATCCACGATTAAGCTAAGTCTAAGCACCATGCTTACACTCACGATTAATACTTTACTCCCTTTAGAACAGAAATAAAGCACTCAAAAGAGTCGCAAACCTGATGAACAATATAAATACAATGCTTACTTGAATCAGAAGTAGATTACTAGAGAAATCGAAGACAAGCTCAAGTAGAACTTGGATCCGCCAAGGTATAAGCTATAGAGAGGGCACCGACAGACGGCACCTCCTCTAAACTCTTCCCTCACTCTTCATCTCACTATTTCTATTTATAAGACTATATCCTATAGAGGACTAATCTTCTCTTGATAGCTGGCTTTGGTCCTCATGATATGAATTAGAGTTTTATGATGGCTCCAGGGAGGATGGCAGGGGCTAGTATATATAGGCCGGAACATCCAACGTGAGCCCTTGGATCAAACCGACTTAAAGGACGGCATAGATGCAACCTAGGAGGTGGTGGAGAACTGACATTGCGACGCTGAGGCTGACAGGTGGGCCTAGGGGCTGGGCGGCCTGCAGGTGGGGCTGGCCGGCCCCACATGGAAACCCCTCAGGGTCTGCTTCGGTGGAGAGCTTACTGAAGTCTTTTAGAATCTTCCCACGCTGTTTACGTGGTGGAATTCTATAATTTCCTTTGATGAATAGGTCCCCCTTGATGGTTTTCTGGATAAACCCTGTTGAAAACACATATTCACCAAAACTTGTGGAATTTATTAGTTTAAACCCCTATACCTATGTTTGGTGATGGAATTAAGTATAAATACAGGTTATGTTGATGATTTATAATTGATGTTAGTGACCGTCAACAAGTTCCCCCAAGTTTAACATTTGCCAGTCCCTGAGCAAAGCTAAACTAAGCAATGGATCA